GGGCGGAAGTGGGCTGCACCTGCTGCTCAGGGCTGTGGGGCTCCTGGGTCCTTCCTGAATCGGGGTTGGACTGGGGCAGGGCTGTGGGCAGCTGGGCCTCGGTGAACCCGCCTGGTGTCTCCGTGGTGAGAGCACCCATCTGCCTCCATATCTGCTTTCTCTTCTGCAGAATTAAAACGCGGAGACTCATCTGCCTCCCCCAAATTGGACCGATACAAAATGGCGAGACAGCTGACGGAAAAGGCAATCAAGGTAAATGCTCCTGGGGACTCGGTGGGGAGGGGCCGCCTTTTAAACATGGAATTTGACTTTGGAATTTGGGGAGTGAGTCCAGAGCTCTGACACCCAACACCCGCTCCGGGCGGCCTTGGTCCCTGGCCCCCCAGGCCTGGTCCCCACGTGGAAGCTTGCGTTAGAGTTACTTTAAAAATTTTTTTAAATTTATTTCAGAGAGGAAGGGACAGGGAGAGAGAGAGAAACATCAATGATGAGAGAGAATCGTTGATGGGCCGCCTCCTGCACGCCCCCTACTGGGACTCGAGCCCGCAACCCCGGCAGGTGCCCTTGACCAGGAATGGAACCTGGGGCCCTTCAGTCCGCAGGCCAGCGCTCTATCCACTGAGCCACACCAGCTAGGGCTAGAGTTACCTTTGATTTCAGCTGGACGCTGGAAATGCTCTCAAGATTGGGGACGTGCAGACATATGAGGCGTGGAAGCCTGTCCCAGCTCCCGCCACGCGGCCTCAGGCCCTGAGCACACTTCCGGGCCAGGGTTCTGTGTCAGGGACAGGCTCCTGATGACCCAGAGCCCCGTGTGCCGGCCCCTGCTCCCCAGGCCCCTCTCGGGGACGCGGAGAGGACAGACGCCACCGTTTCTGTCCTTGTGCAGAAGGCCGGGAGCCTGGGAGCCCCGAGGGACCCGGGCACGTGGTTACGTGAGCCTGTGCTCAGGTGTTTCTCCTGGAGCACAACGCACGCCTCGTCTCCCAGCTGCATGGCTCGCCATGCCCCTGGGGAGAGAACCAGGACACACATGACGTGTGGTCAGGCAGCAGTCCCCACAGACCTGAGCTGAGGAGACGTCCGTCACCTTGGAAGCTGCCCCCTCAAATCCTTGCCACTGCGGCCGTGCCTTCTGGAACCACTGTCACCGCCTTTCAGGGATTTCACAGAAATAGAACCAGAGCAGCTCATGACTCAGTTTCCCTCTGCAGCCCGCAAACACGTGAACATGCCAGACTACAGGCGCCCTCAGAGCACCGCCTTGGCTGCATTTCTCGAGCTCTCATTTCTAGTATTTTTGTTGCGAGTCCGTAGAAAGTATTTTACAATCCAAACTAGAGGCCTGGTGCACAGAAATTCGTGCACTCAGGGGAGGTCTCAGCCCAGCCTGCACCCTCTCACAATCTGGGACCCCTCAGGAAGGGTCCAGTCCGATCGCAGCATGGCTCCGTTCCCACAGCTCCCTCCCGTCGCTGAGCCGCGGGCAGCCAGGACCCAGGACTGACTCCCGCCACGCCGGCTGGGACCCTAGGCTGGTGTTCGGCCGTCCGTCCGCACGTTTAGGTCGCGACGGCCCCTGGCTCTTTATGTATCAGGATAATTCCTTCCTCCCTGATCACGGGCGGCTGACAAGCCGCGTTGCGATGTCTGTCCTTTTCCCAGTTGGTCTGTCACGGACTCCTCAGCAGGTTGTTGTGGCTGAGCATGTGTCCGCGTGAGTCACCTGCTGAGACGCTCTGTGCCCGCGTCTGGTGAATGTAGGCGGAAGGTGGTGTGAACGCTGGCTGCACACGCTGGGCGGAGGCGCCTGTGGCCGCACTGAGCTTCTGTCTGTCCCATCAGCACGGAGAGCAGCTGTTCACACCTGTTACCTGTGGGTGTGTCTGCTTTTCCGTCCTGTCCGTTTCCGCTGCGGATAACGGGGTGCCCTGCCGGCAGGTGCACACGACCGCATCGGTCTGCGGGGCCGACTCTTTCCTCTCAATTATTAAAAAATCGTCTTTACTCCAGCGATGTTCATGTGACCTCTTTTAATCCTCACCCGAGGACATTTTTCCATTGGTTTTTAGAGTGGAAGGGAGAGGGGAAGACAGAGAAACATCGATGTGAGAGAGACACACGGATTGGTTACCTCCTGCACGTGCCCCAACCAGGCCCCAGGCTGGGGAGGAGCCTGCCACTGAGGTATGTGCTCTTGTCTGGAATCGAACCCGGGACCCTTCGGTCCGCAGGCCGACGCGCTACCCTCTGAGCCACGCTGGCCAGGGCGAGTGATGTGACTTTGTCCCGACGTCTGTTCTGCCTCAGATGTGGGTCCTCTCTCTCCGACTGGCCCGTAGGCCGTGCTGTTCGTTTTCTCTCGCAAACAGCACAGGTTGGGTTTTAAAGATCGAGTCTGGTGCTCGTCACCTTCCAGCTGCAGCAGGAAGCGTGTTTCTCCGGTCGGACTGCCGGTGCCTCACTTCTCCCTCCGCCCGCCCGGTCTGCTCCGTTCGCCTCTCCGTCCATGCCTGCCGGGGGCTGACGGCTTTATTTCCTTATTTAGTTCGTTAGTCAATCCTCCCCGAGGACATTTTCCCATTGGTTTTGGGGAGAGTGGAAGGGAGAGGGAGAGGCACATCGATGGGTTGCCTCCTGCACGAGCCCCGACCAGGGCCCGGGCTGGGGAGGAGCCTGCCACTGAAGTACGTGCCCTTGACCGAATCGAACCCGGGTCCCTTTGGTCCCCAGGTCGACGCTCTATCCATTGAGCTACACCGGCCAGGGCTGGGCTGATTGCTTTTAAAAATTGCACTTCCTGCCCTCGCTGGTGTGGCTCAGTGGAGAGAGCATCAGCTTATGGAGTGAAGGATCCTGGGTTCAATTCCAGTCAAGGGCACAGGCCCGGGTTGCGGGCTCGGCCCCCAGCAGGGGGCGTGCAGGAGGCAGCCGATGAGCGGTTCTCATCACTGATGTCTCGCCCTCTCCTCCCTTCCTCTCTGAGATCAGTCCCCGGCGCTGACTCTGTGCTCTCTCCCTCGAGGACAAGAAGATCTTCTCCATCCACGGCCACTACCCCGTGGTCCGCGCGCTGCTGCGCAGGAAGGGCTGGGTGGAGAAGAAGTTGCACTTCCTGCCCCGGATCTCCCTCAGTGCCGACGGCGAAGGGGCCGCTGGTAGATACGGAAGCCCTGGCCCTCCATGTGCGTGTGTCTGTCCCGAGGCCCCGGGTCCTGGGACTTGGGCCTCCCCACGCGGGAGCCGCGCTGCCTCCCACACAGGCACCCGCCGCCGGGCGAGCGCTCCCAAGCCCGTTTGGCCAC